GTCACTACAGGTAACTTGAACTTATAGATTTCAGAAATATTCTTTGAAATAGGGCCTTATTATGAAGCACAGACTGGCCTAGAACTTGTGATCCCCCTGGTACAAATTCTGCATGCTGGGATTACAGGCATGTGCCTGGCACTGCCTGCTAAAACCAAGTATAGACAGGATAAAGTTACTGTCACTGACTTCCAAAGTTAGAGGCTTTTCACAGCACGTAATTTGCATTAGAGGACGTCTAGAATACTGGCACGACCATTTTATTTGGTTCAATGATGATTCAAGAGCATCTGGCACCTGCTAAAAGCTGCTGAACATGCAAGTCCCCTAACCCATCCATCTACCATCTATCTGGGATCCCAGCCTTCAGAACTTGCTATAGTCAAGTTCCAGCCAAAGCAGTACATCAGATTACTACCCCTAAAGATTAAGTATGCCCTTAAACTTTAAGAGGTAACTGATCTATAAACAACTACTAGCCGTGTTAAAAAAAAAAAAGTCAGTGGTGCTCTGAAAACCAGTTCTGCCTGTAAATGGCCAAGGTGACATTTACAGGGAGCTGACATTTAAGATGAACATGGAGGATAATCAAAGTACTCCCTAAAAAGAGAAAAAAATTTCAAAGGAACCACATAGCTCATAGCAGTATCAGCTTGATAGCCAGCATCCTAATGATAAGGTAGCCTGGAAACACAGCAGACAGGACTCTGAATGTACGATGTGGAAGGTTGAGCAGACGTTTATCTTTTAAAAACCTTCACAAGCTAGCCACTTGTAGTGGTGCGCGCATACAGTCCAGGTACTTTGCAGGGCGTGGCGGAAAGACTAAGAGTTCAGCTCTAGCCTAGCTTATGTAGTGAGGAAAGTCTAGACTACATAGTGAGGATCTTTCTGCAAATAAGTTCTGTTTCTCCCTTTCCCAAGCCACAGTTATTTTGAAAAACCAGGCCTTTATTTTAGGATAACTTGGTGGCGCCTATGTAAAGGGTGAGTGACTAAAAAAAAAAAAAAATGGGGGCTGGAGAGATGGCTCAGGAGTTAAGAGTGCTGGCTGCTCTTCCAGAGGTCCTGAGTTTGATTCCCAGCAACCACATGGTGGCTCACAACCATCTATACTAGATCTGATGTCCCCTTGTGGCATGCAGGTGTACATGCAGATAGAGCACTCATATATGTAAAATTAAAAAAAAAAAAATCAAGCTAAGAGAAAAAGGAAAAAGAGTGAAAAGACCTATATCTAGACACTAGTGATGGCATGAGAGTAGGATTCCATTGCACACCTACAACCATTAGATTTGACCAAATGCAATAGAGAAAGAGAAAAATTAAAGTTTTCTAACAGATAGGGAAAAGGAAAGGACTGGAGAGAGAACAATGAGATTTGGCTTGATAATCAGGGACTTAGCAGGTAGAAATGTCTGACAGAATACATTTTGGGATAAAAGGGCCTGAGAGAGAGATTTAAGAGAAGGCCAAGGCTAAATGGCTGGGAATACTGGTCCTTAGGTGGCAGGAAGATCAGTGACAAGAGCAGTAGCTGGCGCTAAGAGAAAAGCCCAGCAAAGCCGTGTTTAAGAAGCCAAGTTCAGTAACTTTTTACCAAAATAAACTGGCAGGATAAGAGCTGGCTAAGATCTGGATGACTAGAATAGATATTAGATATCCTTCCACTTGGTTCTCAGTTGTTTCAGAACAGAGTAGGTAGCTGGTTTGTTGACAAACTTGAAAGCAGGCATCTTTTGCCCATGCCTCACCAAGGGAAGATCAGTTAAGGCTATCTTACAGTGTCTCATTTATTTGATCTTTTACCTACTTGTGTCCTTTCCACCCAGAGTCGCGGTGCACAGAAAGAAGACGGAAGCAGCAGCCACTGAACCATCGCCCTAACACAAGCAGCCTGACCCCATCCCCAACTCTTGCTAGTTCTGCCCCAGCCTCCTCACGAAACCTAGGCTCCTGCCTCCTGCCTAATTCACTCAGCTTATCAGGTCTGTACGCACTGCCCCTGAAATCTGAATTGCCCGGTTTCTTCCCTCCCTACTACCCCGGGCCTAGACAAGCTATCAACTAAGCCTAAAGAAGAAACCCCTTCAGCCAACCTGGACTTCTTTCTTGACCCGATATACATACACAGACCAGGTGCAAGCTATTCTCCTAGTACCTCATACTCCTAACACGTGTGCCTTAGTACAGAAGGCTGGAATCCAGTGAAATAAGTCTGTAAAGTGACAGCTAACATTTATTGAACATTGTTCACTCTGTGCAGGACCTGCTGTATACTATCTGGTCCCCACTTTTATAGTTCAAGACCTGAGGATTTTTCTACCTGCAAAGTGCTGCTTACCCAAGTTCCCAAACTTTTCAGTTAACATTATTGTAAATGGCATCCTATATGCTACACTAAACTTCAAGTCATCTACTCTTATGTTACAGACCCAGTGTTTTGGTTTTTTGTTTTGTTTTGATTTTTGGAAGACAGGGTCTCTTTTGTAGTCCTTGCTGTCCTGAACTCTTTGTAGACTAGGCTGACTTCTAACCCACTGAGCACCATTCCTGGCAGGATTGTTTTCTATGACTGAGTGCAACATATACTATACCAACCTATCCATTTTTAATCAGTTGTACAGAATGGGCTTTTTCTTTTCTCCTTTTGAGCTAAGGTCTGTGTAGCTCTGGCTATCCTGGAACTCATTATGTAGACCAGTTGGCCTTGAAGTTGAAGAGATCTGCCTGCTTCTGCCTCTAGAATGCTGGAATCAAAGGCATGGCCACTGGGCCCAACTGACTTTATTTCTAAATACCTAAACATGACGGTGTGAGCTCTAAGGTTTATAAATTGAATTATTAAACTTTAGGGTTCTATTTGCACCAAAAGTTGCAGCTTCAATTCTTGGTTCAGATTAGAACCCTTCAGAAGCAATTTTGCCACCCAAGGAACATTTGGTTATTACAATGGAAAAGGACCTAGGGAGGAAACAGCACACAGTAGTTTGAGATAGGGATGCTGCTAAAATCTTACCATGCACAAACCACTCCAACAATAAATGCCTATACCGGCAGGATAAAAGGTTGCCCTTATAGTTCAGCAGTTAAACACTGAGCACTGGTTTAGCATGAAATCTTAGGTTTAATCTCCAGTACCATAAAGAAGACAAGGTCAAGAAACTGACTTAAATGAAGTTACCTTCTCTTCTAGCCCTACCTTGATGATAAGTTTCCTCTGTTCTCTAGGGAACAGCTGCTCATTCTCATCTTCAGGGGACAAGCCGGAGGCTGTCATGGTGATTGGGAAAAGTCTGCTAGGGGCTGGTGCTCGGATCCCCTGCATTAGGACTCGTTTGCAGGTAAAATTTTGGGCGTCCTTCCATGTCCTTAGCATTAGCAGAACCCAGCAAGACACTATTCTGAGCACTGAGGGGTGGACAGGGGGAAGATTTTTAGTCCTACTGTATAGCCTTTTATCACCAGCCTGTCAGAGCTGCTGTGGTACGTGTGTGTTAATCTACCCAGTCCAATTGGCCAGGTATCCTGCTTGCTTTCAAACTCCATTGTCCCTGCCAGATGCACCCCAACCACAGCCTGCTAGCTTTGGCTTTCCTACCCGTCCTTAGCTTCTCCTCTCTTTCTGACCAGACCTGCCAGAGGAGAGTTTCCGCCAAGAGGGGTCCCGGATTCCCCAGGTAACACATCTGGTTACTGCTTCTAGTAACAACCTTACCATCACCTTCAACTCAGACAAGCTCCCCTTCCTAGTTTGACCACAGTTGGGTAGAGGCAGAAGCTGACTGGACGGGTGAAGCTTAAGCTGCTCTGGCAGGGGTGGAGACTGAGAAAGCTGAGGGATCTCTGCCAGTCCCTACCATCCTTTTCCATTGTGCTTTTCTACTTGGCCACCCTTAGCCACGGTCTACCTGAGGAAGCTACCCTTAGATGAGTGATGTGGGAGTTCTACAGCTGCCATCCTGTCCTATCCTCTCAGTTAGGTAGTGCCCAGGAACCCAGGGCTCTAGCACCTGTCGACTGCTTATGCAAGGAAACTCTAAAAGCAGAAAAGCCTTGTGGAAGAACCCAACTTCTTAAGCCTACCCCTATCCACACAGGCTAGGCCCAGGTTGGGCCGGAGCTCACCGCCGACTCGCAGAGGGATGAGAGGCTCTTCAAGCCCCGCATCCCCTATCCCCCAGACCAGAGGGAGCAGTGAGCTGGAGCCGGGACCCCGCTCTGCTGTACCAGGGTGAGCACCAGAGTCCAGTCCTTCATTCTACCCCTCATGTCTACTATTTCTTCACCCCCATTTCTACCACTCAGGATAATTTTTCTTGCTTTCTCATTGATCCCAAAGACTAAATGCACTTTGATTAAGAATCTAGTCCCTGATTTTTATTCTATGACCTCAGTCTTCACTTCAAAGGTACCTTCTAGTTAGGCTCTTAAGGCACTAGCTAGCTGGTTCTAATGTCCGACTTCTGTGCAGTAAGTAATAAATCTGCTTGTCCCTACCCATCTTCACATTTCCCTTTTCATCTTCCAGCCCCTGGCTAACAGACCAGAAAAGGGTTGTTTCCACAACCCTGATTTCCTCTCTCTTCTCTGTTGCAGGCTGCCTCAGGCTGGCCCCCCACGGCCCCGCTCTGCCCCTGCCTTTTCTATTTCCTGTACTCTGTCTGACTCCCCATCCTGGATTTGTTACAGCAGGGGGCCCCTGAACCAATGTGAGGTTTGTTTTGTCCCTAAATCTCCACCACTCACTCCTTCTCCCAGGGTCTGATAATGCCTTTACCTTCGTGCCCACGATACAGCTCTAAGGTGAAGGGAACACAGTGAATGATATGTTAGTCCTGTCTTCTAGCTGCTGCTACCATGTGACCACCATAGCTGCTTGGAATATCGGCCACAGTGTCTGAGGCCTTGCAGAACATCACCCTGAGACAGAACAAAACAGGAACCCGCCACCCCATTCCCTCCCTTCACAGCACAAGATTTTGGGACCACAAAAAAAAAAAAATCTATATTTTTGTATTGGGGGGAGGGAGTAGAAGAGAAAGTAGCCCCTATACTGGGCCCTATTCAGTGGCAGCTTCTTGTTCCATAGGATTAAGGAAGACTTTGAGGAAATAAAAGTTGTTTGGAAAAATCCAGGTGTAGTTGCTTTGTATGCTGTGATGGGTAGGAGAGATGAAGTGAAGTGTGAAGGTCCCTCACACCCTTCATCTTGCCTCAGACTATGTCCTGGAACCCTAGAAAAAAGGGGAAAGACCCGAAGTAAGGAAGATGCTGCAGCTTTCCTGGTGGGGGGAGGGGGAGATCCTTCAGGAGCCAACCCCCATCTAGCCCGTTTCCCTTCACATTTTTTAAGCGCGCTTGGTTTCCAGACTGGGCCCCTCCCTTTTTTCTCTCTGGTTTGTATCTGTAGTTAACTCGTAAAACAACGTCCTTGGCCTCAAAACATGGAAATAGTTCTACGTTTTTTACTACCATGCTCCTTCTCCAAATCTACCTAGATAACGCCTCAGCCTCCATGGGAAAGTGGGGCTATTAAAGGCCTGATCCCACATACTTGGATGGCACAGTTACTGCCTTTGTTTTTACTGGTGTCAGCACCTCCTTTTAACCTCCTTTTAACTTGGGTCTCTGTCTACTGAGAACCTCAAAATGGAGACTGAGGAGGCTCCAGAAACCCATTCTCATTCTAGTAGGAAAAACAGGAGAAGAAGCAGAATATTTCAAGGCACCATACACAGCGCGGAAAAAGGGGCCCGGTTCTGGACTTGATATCAAGCTTAGCTCGAGCTACACTTTCTAACTTGAAGTTCCTAAGTCTGCAGGCCCTGGCGCAGCCTCACCACTCAGCTCTCCAGGGCCTGGACGCTACTGCCCCGAACGTTACCTGGGGCAGAAAGAGCGCCACTTTCATTCCTGCTTCTTGGGATTGTTGACTGCCACGTAGTGGTAGAGAACCACGAGCAAGAAAAGCGACACGCCCAGCATGTTGGCGAAGATGGCGAGCTGCACGTCCGTGATCATCCTGCGGACAAGGGGAAGGTCTGAGCCTCGCTTCCCGCGCTCCTTGCCCTCACCAGGGCAGAGCCTCGTCCCCGCGGTGCAGCCTCCGCCGGACTCGCCTGCGAGCCTCTCACCTGAGCAGCTCCCCTCGACTCCGACGCTACCGCCGCACAAGCTTCAGGAGCCGGAACTGCGTAGCGCCAGCTGAAGAACGCGGCACTTCCGGCTTTTCTACCCCGCTGTCTCGTCTGCTCCTTCGGCGCGCGCGCACACACACGGGTCTTGGGCGGAGCCTCGGGGAGCCGCCCAGCCGCGGGGGGCGGGCGGGGCAGGGGCTGGGAGCACGCAGCTGGCTGCAGCTGGCTGCAGCTGGCGCGGCGGGGGCCGCATAGCCTCCCTGGAGCGGAGGAGTAGGCTAGGGCGAGGATGCGGCGGGCGGGAGCCTGGACCTGACCTGTAGCCGCCAATCTACTTTCCTACACACTGCCCACCCTTCGCTTCCCTGCTCGACCCAGCCAGGTGCTTCCTTTGGGTCCTGCCCTCCGGGTTCCCTCCCAGGCTCGTTGGCGGTGGGGATGGCGTGGAGCAGAATGGGGACAGGACTGAGGAGGCTGGTGCTTTCACGGGTGCTAGTCCTTCTGAAACCACGTCCTACCAAACAGGAGGATAATGACTACTTCACCAGTGCCAGGCTCAGGCCCGCTCCCTGCCTTCATCCCACCATCCTGGAGGTGGGCGTCGGAATGGGTGGACACTCTCATAATCAAAAACGAAACGTGGGACCTCGGCCAAGTGGGAAATCACCCCCCGGATGTGAAGGAGGGGTTAGGAAAGGAAGGGCTGGGACAAGCCCAAAGGGGTCGTGGGTTTGTGGTGAAGAGAGTTGGCTGCAATTGACATGGAGACATCTGAGGGTCACTGGTGAGGGGAGCAGCACCCTGAATCTCTACAACCCTCTATCCAGCTAGAAACTGGTTCCCCCCTTCTTGCTTTCTCCTCAGCTTCACCATAAAAGGGAACGATGTGGAGCCAGACAGGGCCGGGGGGCTGGACGATTGCTTTGGAGCTGTCAGGGATAATGGAAGCCAGTTGCTTTGCGGTAGAGGGGGGCCCCGGGACTCAGGGGAGGCCTCTGCTTCTCTGAGCCAAAGAAAACTCTACAGGAGCTGCTATAGGGCTGGAACAGCTGGGACAGGGGACCACATTGCCTCCTGTGTGCACAGTGAGCTGGGCTTGCGCTATTCCAATGTTGGTTTCCCCGGTCTCAGACAATTAGCAGTTTGTGTCCAGTTTGCTCCCAAATTCAATACTTGCCTTCAGTAGTTACTTTATAGCTCTCCACGCCTCTTCCACTTCTTGTCCTAGCCCCCACCCACTGTTTCCCAGAAGTTTCATATTTAGAAATCCCAGGCCTGTGTTCCCTCCACATGACACGGGTGAAAACCCAGACGTGCTTTCCCTAGGCATTCCTCTGTCAGTTGGTGTGTCCCCAGCTCCGCCCCAAGAGAAGGATGTCTAGATTTTAGGATTACACATTATTATGCTTCATGTCTCCTGGAAAGTTGGGGCAGATCCAAGTCCAAGCACTTAGGTGTGCAACTGAATCAAAATTAGACTATAGTTTTAAAAGAAACTGTACTTCTAGGTTGCGGATGATGAAAGCCCGGGAAAGTGCTTCAGCTTTCAAACCAGCTGGTCATAGTATCCTAGAAAGCCACAACTGAAATGCACCTCCGTGATATGCTATTGTCATTTTATTTATTTATTGGTAAAGAAGGAAATGGGCCCAGAAGGCAACCTAACCAAGGCCCCACAGCTGGCTAAGGACAATGTCACCTGTTCTTCCGACCCTCCCCTATAGCAGGTAGACTCAGGAGTTTGTCCAAAAGGTCAAGGACAAACAGGAAAAGATTTATTTTAGAACTACCCGGAAATGGCCTTCACCTCCCTTTCCCTTCCTGTGCCTAGGTCAATGAGTCTTTATCAGCCTTCAATGGCTCATTTGGCCTCGTGCCTGAAGGAACTGAAATAAAAACTGGTCTCAGGATTGAACTAGACTCAGCTGAGAAATGACAAAGCTTGATTAAAAATCCCAGGCGGAAAAGTGTGTGGGAAGTGAGACAGACAAAACCTCATCCTGCCAGAATTTGGGGAAAGTAGTAGGAAGGCACTTACGGAGCTTAATCCCTAATATGATCGTTTTATTGTTTCTGTGATTTAAATAAACTTTCACTCCACAGCCCAGGCTGGCGTCAAACTCGGGGTTCTTCTGCCTTTGCCTTCCCAGTGCTGGCATTACTGGTTTGAGCAAGGACAGGACATGAGGTTTAGGATCAGGTTTACGAGTGAGAAGGCCATAGACTTGGGAAAGGAGAGAGGCTGGTCCCTGCTTCTCAGGGTAGTCAGCTCCTAAAATATTATACCTGGAGAAAGGCCTAGAAAGCAAGAAAAAAAAAGTTGCCATGGAGTTTGGCTTAGGTTTCCTTATGAGCTTGAATTTCCATCTGTTTTGGCATGATACAAGGCCCATGATACAAGGCCCAATTCACATGACTCCCCATTTTTCCTCCCAATATTTAGTCCTTTAACAGAAGGCCTTAGATAAAAAAATGTTCCTTATTTCTGGAGCGCCCTGCTATCCTGGCTCTGGGAACTTGAGCTCCTTGCTAAGTCACTGATAGCTGAATAAATTAATGTCTAGTATGGTCAAGATTTCCCTCAGGCACTAGGTCATCGGAAATCCCCCACCTTACAGATATTATAAAATAGACTCTATCTTACTATAGGGACTTAGCATTTCTTGTGAGCAATTCCAGCCACTCACTTTGGAAACTTGTGGCTGCCTGCCAATTCTACCACAGCAATGCCACTGCCACCATCGCTAGCACTCCTGCAGCCTATCCAACCCTGGGTGCCATTTGCAGCCTGCTTGCTCACCCTGAGGCCAGCAATGGGAATTTTCATTGCCAGTGAACGATGAGTAGAGCTTTCACAAACACACATGCATGTCAGAGCCTAGGTCTTGGCTCCTAATTAGAAGGTTAACTGAAATGCAACCTACTGCAGTTACTTTTCAAAGCCAGCCTTTGGTTACCTGACACATTTAAACTGTACAACAGAATTTCTAACTCCAGAGAGCAGGAGAGGGACTATGTGGCAACCAGACAGTAACAAGATGGCTAGGCTAATTTTTTTTTTTTTTTTTTCAGTGTCGTCAGTGGCTCCCTGATGGGAGAGGAGAAGAAAAATAGAAAACTCATAGTGGCAGCCAGGGCAATCTGGAAGGGAAATGGGTTGGTTTCTGTCAGGGCCAGGGCCTACAATTGATACAAAGACCCAGAGACAAAGCTCCCACCTTCTACAGGCATACTCCTGACATCAGGACCACCTGTGGACGCTTCCTTCAGGTTTGCCTGTGTGCTAGTCCCCAGGCCCCTGAAGAGCAATCATACTGCTCTTTCTATCGGTTCTGACGTTTGCTTTCTGATGTTTAGTCACCACCTTGACTTGACTCAGTATTTCTTCTAGCCATCAAGGCCACATCCTAGGTCCATGGCTCTCAGGAGCAGAGGCAGGTCACTGAGTCACAGGGAGGAGCTGATGACATTTATTCTCATGTGTTTGTGTGGCTTCCAATTAGCACTCTGTAAATTGTTCCCAGGATGCCTGGTCTGCATGCTTTTGCTTTTTTGAGACAAAGTTTCTCTTTGTATACTTGGCTGTCTAGGACTGGCTTTGTAGACCAGGCTGGCCTGGAACTCACAGAGATCCGCCTGACTCTGCCTCCCGAGTGCTGGGATTAAAGGTGTGGGCCACTGTGACGGCTATATTTTACCCTTTTTAATAGACTGTTCTCTCTACTAGAATGTGTTACTCTCTTTTTTTCCCTGGTATCTTCAGAGCGAAATAGCCTTTCTTCCCTCTAGACCTACTCTTTCCAACCTCCTCATTTGAGCTCGAGCTCTAGAATTTTCTGTGGTGTTCCCTTTTCTCTTCA